TGATAAATTTTTCACATACTAGATCCTCAGTTTTATCAAAAAGAAGATCAGCCATTTGCACAGGCCAAGCTGGCAGTTAACGTGCATGACATCTGGCCAATTCTCCTTTTCCATTGTCTGTTACAGCAGTCCCTTCCTTAATAGCTCCATCTCACCCCCTACCACTGTGGTGGTCTCCTGACTGTTGGTCCTGCCTCTAGGCTCTCTCTCCCAACCCCTTTAACTCTTCCTGCACATAGCTGAGAGACTAATCTCCCCAAACACCACTTTTCCTCATATTCTGTGTTGCCCAAATAGCAGAACTTCTTAAAACAGGAACAACATTAAGGAGAACTACTTCAGTTTAAGGAGAAAAGGCTTTTTAAATAAACACAAGGCAACGCTGGAAAAAGCTGGTTCCAGGGGTACAAGTCTTGTGTCACTACAGATATTCAAGTATACGGAAACCACAGATAGTCAAATATACGGAAACCTGAATCCCAACCACAGAATTATCTGATTCTTTATCATTTCCCTGATAGTCTTCCCTTCTTCACCTGGCATTCCAAGCCACCTTCTAAATTCTAGCTCCAAATGCTTTTCTCCTAACCTCTCCTCCCAGCACCCTTCTCCAGTCAAGACCTTCAACCTTCACTGTCGCCCATGCACATCTTGCAGAGTCTGCTGTTTTTCCTTCCTGAGTGACTTTTTCCTCTCCCTTCCTCCACCTTTCAAAATCCAGTGCACCTTCAGGAAACTCTTCCAATCCCATGCTTATCCTCTATTCCACTCCATTCCTTGCATGCCACTCACGCTATTAATTTACTTTTCATGTCCATGTGTCCTGATTACAAGCTCTGGGACAAAATAGGAAAAACAGCCTCCTATCTGCTAGAAGACAGCCTGTCTTCATCAGAGACCATACACATGAGGTCACTCAGCCCTTTCCCCACTCTGGTTTCTCTGACACAAGCTTTCTCCCAGGAAATCCATTGTCACCCAGTATACCAATCATCGATTTGGCCCCTTTACAGAGCAGAATATCATTAGGACAGTGCAGGAATACATAAAGGTGTATCCCAGCTTCTTTGGGCCTTCTCCTTCATCCACCTAGATACGTGAGCTGTAGGGAAGAAGTTACTGATGCAGCAGCAAGTCTCTGATCTCAGCCTTTGAAATCCAACTGTAAATTTTAACTAATGGATAAAAAACTCTGTTCTAGTAGAAGCTATCCCTCATTACTCCACTTCCAACCTACCATCGCTGGTTCTCTTTTTTTAACATCTCTCCTTTTTCAAAGAAGTTTCATTTAGGCCTTCCCATCTCTGCCTCTTGGATGTCCCCTACCCAGCTAAGCGCCCTCTTTTTCTCATCAGAGCCCTACTCAAGGATTCACCAAATACATTTAGACACTCTTTTCTAGGTATTGCTAAAATACATAGGTTTGAGGAGTGACTGCTAATGGGTACAATTTTGGGGTGATGAAATGTTCTGGAATTAGAAAATGGTGATAGCTGCACAACTCTGTGAACACAATAAAAATCATGGAATTATACACTTTAAAACTGTGAATTTTATGTTATATAAATTCTATCTCAATTTTTTTTTTTAAAGTAAAGATTCTCCACCCACCCCTGTATTTGCATTTGGCAATGGGGAGGAAAACTCATTTTAATTTTTGAGACAAGAGCCTTTTCTCACACAGTTCTTGGAGAACATAGTCGATTATCTTCCTTAAACATTTAAGTGCCATGATGGGCCAGGCAGCATAACAGGTACCACAGAGAACAGTCACTAGACAAGCACAGAACCTGTCCTGCTGGAGCCTAGAGAAGGGAAAACTGTGATAATTTAACTACCACTGTGATAAGAGCTAGGAAGGAAAAGTATAAGGTAAGAATGATCTAATCAGAGTGGGGGGTCAGCAGGGTCCCAAAAAGAGAAAAGAACACATCTAAGAAGCACATGCATGCCTCAGTCCCCATAAGGTAGTTACTCAACAACTAGTTTGGGCTGATTGGCAATACAATGAAACCCCCAGATACAGGGACTTGAATGCCATGAAATCAATAATTAGCTCCTAACCACCATAGGAGGCTCACTTGGCCATTTCACTGGCCTTGAGGTAAAGTGACCCTGCATTTAGGTATGTGAATGTTTTACCCACTGACAGTTGTTATGTTTTAGTGTATTCACAAATGTTTGTGTTTATTGTTCATGTAATCGGAGAGAAATTAAGTTATGCTGAAAACTGTATAGATTCAAATCTCTGGTTATTAATTACGATTGCATAGACAGCACAGGACTTGTACAAACTCAAAGATATAGAAGGTATGAATTTTGGCTCAAAAGTGTTTATAAATAAATACTTTTTTGAACATAGTAAGCTCACATCTTTAACAGTCTGGGAAAACCCTAGATCAGAGGTCAGCTAACTATAGCCTGTGGGTCAAATCTGGCCCACTCCTTCTTTGAAAGATTTTTTTCTTTTTCTCCCCAAAGTCCCCCAGTACATACTTGTGTATTCTAGTTGTACGTCCTTCTGGTTGTGCTATGTGGGATGCCGCCTCAGCATGGCCTGATGAGAGGTGCCATGTCTGCGCCCAGCATCCAAAGCCACAAAACCCTGGGCCACCAAAGCAGAGCGTGCAACCTTATCCACCACGCCACCAGGCCAGCCCTAATTCTATTCCTTACAGAAGTGAGAGTCTCTATACACATTCAAGAGGCTCAAGTTAGGCTCGACTCTTTTAAGGGAGGGGTGTCAAAGAATCTGCGACATATTAAATGCCACTACAGGGTTTCCAATGATCAATAAACAGCTTCAACAACATAACCAACAAGGCTTGGCTGATTAAAGAATCTGAGCTTAACCATTTTCATAACATGTATTTTGTTCTATTTATGATAGGAGAGAGGTTTCATCACCATTTAAGTTCTCCAAAGAAAAAAGTAAGCCAACAGAAAAAAGCAAGGCACTTAGCTTTTCATATCTGATGCAGTAATGATGATGTGAAGCAGATATGTGAAGCAGTTTGTTCTAGTGGATTTTTCCAAGGAGGAGGCAAATTACAGTGAATAGATCATGATCATAAATAACTGCAAAGTTGGACTAGGACAGACAAGTACTTATGATTCAGAGCCACATAAAAGATTTTCTCAGATATAAACAAAAACAAGAAAACAGAAATTTAGATATGCATTCAAAATGAGGGGGAGAGCATTTTGGGGAAGGTGCATGTATTGCACTACGACTGCTATACATCTGCATCAAACTTCTGAAACAAGGAACACTTACAGAGTGAAATAAAAAGTTACCTGCATCAATTAATTGTATTTTGAAAATAAATATCTTAGTCACTAGACTCAATGAACACTTGGCCAAATTCATATTAATATTATTGTGAGTTTCTTTATAGGAGGCAAGAAGGCCTGGAGAGCAAAACTTTCTCACAGAGGACAATGAAGTAACAATCAACGAGATTTCCTCAACAGGAAGCTCAAAAATTGCCCTGACCTGAAGAATTAAACTGCTTTCAAATAAATTCATTCAAAACCCACTCTACTGGGTTGAAGAGCTACAAATTCATGCCCACCCAGAACCTGTGAATGTGGCTTTACTTGAAAATAGGGTCTTTGCAGATATAATCAAGTTAAGATGAGGTCATATTGGATTAGTGTGGATCCTAATTCAATGATTGATGTCCTTCTAAGAGGGAAATTTGTACAAAGCGACAGCCAAGGAGAATGTCATGTGACAATGAAGGCAGATACTGAAGTGACGGGTCTATAAGCCAAGGAACACCAAGGACTGCCAGCAACCACCACAAGCTAGGAGAGAGCATGGAACAGATTCTTCCTCTGAGCCCCCAAGAAAGAATCAACCCTGCTGACACCTTGATTTCAGACATGTGGCCCCTAGAACTGTGAGAAAATAAATTTCTGTTGTTCTGAGCCCCAAAGTTTGTAGTAATTTATCTTATGGCAGCCCTAGGAAACTAATACATCCACCCAGCTAGTATTATAAAATTTAAATAATCTCATTTGCGGTATTAGAAGTATTTATCTTCAGCCTGAAAATTGAGAAAAATATTTACCATTCAAGGTTTTCAGGTTAAAATTCAGAATAATTAGAGACAGCATTTCCATTTAATTCATGGCCCCTTTGTGGGTACTGTCACAAGGATGAATTTCACATAAGACTCCAATACACTATGCATACTGCTGTCAGCCATCAGAGATCCACTGAGGTTCTCCCAAAAACCAGCGAAAGCAAACCCCTGCACAGAGTAGGGGCTCAGTTCACCTCGCTGATATCCAATGGCCCTACAAAAATCTATGTCTCTGTTGAAGTCCTCCTGTTGGACCAGAAGTTTAACACAAAACTACAAGTTTCAAGAAACTAATCTTCTAGATTTAAAGTTCTCTTGTCACACTTGTAGCATCATAATGATGACAGTTTTTCTAATAGTAACTACTGGTAAACTGTGGGTTACCATTTCACTTTTTATTAATTCTGAGTTTTCCAAAACATGATTCCTTTAACCCCAGACTTAATATATTTCAAACCCAAACCACTGCAAATAGGCATGGTTGATTTAACACACTAGTCTAACAGAATAGGGCAATTTCTAGGGTATTTTCATAATGGTTGGACATTTTTCCATGTTATCACCCCTATATCTTCAGCATCAACTAAAACGAGGTATTACATAGGATGAAACGTAAACTTCTGCCCTATTTATTTCCTATCAAATTGTGTTACATTTCTAAGACTCAACTATTACTTGGAACACCCAAGAGAAGTGGCTTCACATTCTCCAAAATAGATGTTCCTTTGTTAGCATTTCTCCTGATTAAAACTTAAGCCAGTACAAATTAATACAATGCCAATAACTAAATAAGGTACTGGGCAACTGACACGCATAAGAATGAGAATACTGACCACAAAAAGTCACCTTCAAGGATTAATTTTCTAGAAAGGACTGCCTCTCTCTATATAAAAAGCAATATTGACCTACCTTGTTTTCGAACATCTTCTACAGCAGCCACGAGCTCCTCCTTGAGAAACTGACTCTCCTTTGCAATCTTATCCCCCTTCTCCAAGAAATTCTCAGTTGCTTGTTCAACAGATGCAGCCAAAACATGAGCCTTCTTAGAACGACCTCTCTTCTTATTAGAGGGCCCCTTACTGTTGGTGTTTACCAGAGTTGTAACCTAAAAGTTTCATTTTTGAAAATTAAACTGCAGTTAATTAAAATGAAAATAACAGAGAGGCTAATATCTTTAAAGACAGCAAGAATAAATTATTGATAACAAAAGGAAACATCACATTTATGAGATTCCACTAAGTATTAACAAGTAACATACAACTTTCTGCATATTTAAGATATACAGCAGTGACACTCTAGTTTCCAAGATAATTTAGCTATCTTAACGTGTAAGGTAAGAAATAAAATATTTAATTCCTCAAACATGATCATTAGGTTTTTAGTATCATTTTACAAATTAAAAACAGACTCAAACGGGCAGCCCGGTGGCATAGTGGTTAAATTCGTGCGCTCCGCTTCGTGGCCCAGGTTCACAGATTCAGATTCCAGGGGCGGAGAACCACCACTCATCAAGCCACACTGTGGTGACAACCCACATACAAAAAATAGAGGAAGATGGGCACAGATGTTAGCTCAAGACCACTCCTCCTCAAGCAAAAAGAGGAAGATCAGCAACAGGTGTTAGCTCAGGACCAATCTTCCTCACCAAAAAACAAAAACAACGGATTAGAAATGAGTTAGACATCTCGACTACATGTCATCAGTTCCAGGGCCAGCCCAGTGGTGCAGTGGTTAAGTTTGCACGTTCTGCTTCTTGGCGGCCTGGGGTTCGCCGGTTTGGATCCCGAGTGCGGACACAGCACGGCTTGGCAGAAGCCATGCTGTGGTAGGCGTTCCACGTATAAAGTAGAGGAAGATGGGCATGGATGTTAGCTCAGGGCCAGTCTTCCTCAGCAAAAGGAGGAGTATTGGCAATAGTTAGCTCAGGGCTAATCTTCCTCAAGAAAAAAAAAACTTCCAGAAAAAGGTTAACAATGAACTTAACTTTACCTGGAGGTTACATTTTTCGATTGTTTCTAATCTGTGCAAATGTTTTATGATTATTTGCTTGGAAATCTTTTCAGTTTATTCATACAAATCTCAGCAATTAATTAGTAAAGCCCTGAAGAAAGAAAGGACCAACTGCCCAAAGTAGCCCATTGTGATGGTGTTTTAAGTCCCAGAACATTAACCATCATTAATACATATAATACCAGATGGTCTTCAGGTTGAAAATGACTAAAGATTTGTTACTGGTGTAGCGCGCCACACAAAAGACCTACTGAGAGCTGTAGTAGATGGGTTCCAAGAAAGTAAGTATTCCTGAGTCTTACCACACCCTTCTACATATATATTTTTAAAATATATATGTATGTATGTATGTATATGTGTGTGTGTGTGTGTGTGTGTGTGTGTGTATATATATATATATATATACACTATTTATGATACTAGTTTATGAGTTGGAATAGAGTTTTTTAAAAAGATAGCACAAGCCACTACATCTCATTTATCTTTCTCTCTTTCACATATGCGCGCACACACACACACACATATACTAGTAAACTGTTCCAAAACACTAAAAATGCATAGCTAGTCGCTAACAGTTAATGAAATGTCATCACATTGTGATGTCTGTGTTTGTAACAGAACATACCAAACCTACACCTTCAAATTAAATTACCTGCTAACTGATCCTAGACAATGAAAGGTATGTTAAGCAGGGTGAAGAGACTTAGTCAAGGCTCCATATCCCATCCTTCTTGGATATACCTTCCAAGAAAAGAGGATATCAAGAAAATGTCTGCAAAGTGCAAACATTTGGAAAGTTGTACCATATAACCCTAGCCCCTATTACTGCCAATAAGACTGAAAAAAATTGTAGCAACTGTGTTTCTAAAGGGTTAAATGAATCCATGCATCATTATTTAACTAGTAGTGGAGGCAAATCATCTAAGTCCTATCAACCTAAACTCAACCACTCAAATAAAGGCTTTGAACTAAATAACCTTGTTGTGTGTTTGTTATCCAGGCCTACCGCTATGGAATCATGCTACAACAACTATGTATTTGCTTTCAGATTCTTACCTGTGTAACAAGAGGCTCCAACAGTCTTTCAACTGCCAGAGTCCTGATCTCTAGACTTTTGGGGTCCCATTTGAAGTTTATGTTGCCTGCGTGGACAGCAGTCATTTCTGAGAGAGAAACAAAAAGCTAAAGTCAGGCAAACATCAAACACAAATACGAAATATATAACAAATCTTCCGCAACTTAAGGACTTTTACATCAGGAAAGCTACATTCACCACAAGATGAAAAAAAAAAATTCTTACTAGCCTACACATGAGAGCCCAGTAACTTGTACAGCCTCTTATATTTAAGATTTCAAGATTACAAACATTAGGGACATTATAAGAGGGCATTCCCAAACACACATAGCTTTTCCTTTCGGGCTTCTCTGGCACCAAGACATTTTTACTTCCAGTTTTTCCACAGAGACTTAGCAGCAAGATGAAACACTAAAATGAATGAAGGCTAATACAGGAGATTCTGATTTTTCTTACTCCACAACATTTACAAGTACAGTATTATCTAAAAGGTATGCCTCACTTCATTTTTTGACGGATTCTTAGAGAACATCTTGTCTTACTCTATTAAAACATAATGCTTGAGTCTGCTGCCCTCTGCACCTACAGCTATTATCACTCATAGCCAGAAGAAATTTCAAGTCGCATTTAGTCAAATATCACTGTATCAGTGTCAAGGCAAATTCCATTAGACAGAGGCTTTAAGACTAGGGGAAAAGACTTCAACAAAGATACCAAGCAGTTAGTGTTTGCTTCTAAAAGTAGTGCCTTTAAGATCAAAGAAAAAAGAAAGACAGGAGAGCTATGCAGTTGAGGTAAACACTAATATAAACTTTCCAGAGAACAAACTGTTGACAGAAATTTAAAACCTTTAAAGGGTGCACTCTTATGACCCAGAAATTCTACTTCTAGAATTTTACTCTAAAGAAAAAATTAAGCTGCATGTAAAAACTTGGATACAATGATGTTCACAACAGTACTATGTTCAATCATTAAAAATTGGAAACTACCTAAATTTCAAACAGATTGTTGAATAAATAAATCACACAACCCAACCACAAAATGGAATACTGTGCTGCTCTTAAAAGATAATGGCGTCAAAATTTAGAAAAAACAAAAAATGGTGTTGTCACCGACCAGGTCTTTATTTCTATTAGATACCATTCCCCATTAAAGGGAACCAGGACTCCTCAAAAAAAGAGGGGGAGGGGTTTATTCCAGGCCTGAGATATCCCACTGTGCAGAAAGCAAGGAAAGGCACGAAGACTAACAAGATCACATCGAAAAGACACAGGAACCAAGGCTCCACTGGCCAAATTTACGAATTTGAGTATCAAGAAGAATGATGACTGTAATAGCCTACAACATAGATAGATAAAAAATCCTATGACCAGAGGGATCCTCAAAAGAAAAGGAAGTGAGTGGGGAGAAAATTTCTTCACCAAGAATGTAGAATAGAATTAGAAAATGACCATTTTGCAAATCCCAGTGGAATAACTGATTCAGGCAAGGATTATCAATGGATGTTACTATTAGATGAAAGGTTACTGGGGAACAGATTTGTAAGGTGCCAAAGTTATCACCTGACAGGTTACTTACTAATTACAAAGAGGGTAAGACACCTTTACAATGTTGAGATCTAATGGTCACGCCCTTAAATAACTTTAGCATTGCTAATAATTAAACACCTGATATGGTATGTCTCCTAATAGTATAAAATATGAAGTACCCTACATTACCTATACTGTATTCTTGACGAAAGAAAGTTTTAAATGTTTTTCAGGAGCCTCACTGTCACCATAAACTGAGCAAAGTTAGCTGAGCAACTGCAAAACTACATGTTTAACCTGAGTCAAATGAATCCTCCACACAGGATTCTAAACCTTTTTCAACGCTATGGATCCCTTTGGTCGTCTAGTAAAGCCTCTAGACCAGTATTTCACATTATAGAAATATAATGTGAACCACCTATGTAATTTTAAATTTTCTAGTAGCCACATTAAAAAAGTGAAAAGAAACCGATGGAATTAATGTCAATAATATATTTTATTTAACACAATATATCAAAATATTGTCATCATTACATAATGAGTATTTTTTAAATTATTAGAGACATTTTACATAAGTACTAAGTGTTCAAAATGTGGGATGTATTTTACACAGGGCACATTTAAATTCAGACAAGCCACATTTCAAGTGCTCAAAAGCCACACATGGCTATTGGCTTCTATTGGACAGTGCAGCTATAGACCCTTTCTCGGAGTGTTTTTTTAAAATGCATGAAATACAATTCAAAGGATTACAAAGAACAAACATATATTGAAACTTAGTTATCAAAAATACAGTAGTCCCTCCTTATATGAGGGGGGTACATTCCAAGGCCTGAAACTAAGGATAACGTTGAACCTTACAGATACTATGTTTTTTCCTACATATACATACCTATGATAAAGTTTAATTTATAAATTAGGCACAGTAAGAGATTAACAACAATAACTAATCATTAAATAGAACCATTATAATATACTGTAATAAAAACTACCGTCCATCTTAGCAACCTCAGCATATGATTTTTTTTCTTTCCTTATTAAGTCTAGAACTTTCACCTTTTCAATTAAAGGAAGTATTCGTGGCTTCTCTTTGGCATATCCAAATTGCCAGCACCACTACTCTTGCACTTTGGGGCTGTTATTAAGTAAAATAAGGGTTACTTGAACACAAGCACTGCGATACCACAACAGTCAAACTGATAACTGAGATGGTTACTAAGTAACTGGCAGGTAGCATGTACAACACGGATGCGATGGACAAAGAGATGATTCATGCCACACACAGGAGGAATCCAGGATGGGGCAGGACAGCGCAAGAGATTTCATCACACTACTCAAAAGAGCATGCAATTTAAAACTTATGACTTGTTTATTTCTAGAATTTTCCATTTAATATTTTTGGACGGCCAGTGATCGCAGGTAACTGAAACCACAGAAAGCAAAACTGTGGATAAGGAGGGACTACTGTACTTCACAAACAAATGTACGATATAGTAATATATGTGCTTCTTTATTAACATAATAAATAAGATCTGGCAAAAAGTCTCATAAATACTTCAAAGAAATAATGAACATGTATACCTTTTCAAGATACCATATTATAATTATTGCAGATATGAAAAGCACTGAGATTCTTAATGGTGACAAAGTTACAGGTTCAACTAAAAACTAGTTTTTTGTCTACATTAATAATACAAGGACTGGGGCCGGCCCTGTGGCTGAGTGGTTAAGTTCACACACTCTGCTTTAGCAGCCCAGGGTTTCGCTGGTTTGGATCCTGGGCACAGACATGGCACCACTCATCAAGCCATGCTGAGGCAGCATCCCATATGCCACAACTAGAAGGACGCACAACTAAAAATATACAACTATGTACCAGGGGGCTTTGGGGAGAAAAAGGAAAAATAAAATCTTAAATAAATTAATTAATTAAATAAAATAACAATACAAGGAAATGCTAAATTCCTCTCAATAGTGAAAACAAGGACAAAATTTTTCCAATCCAAAAGGACTTGCAAGATAAGAAACCCTAACCTAAACTGAATTTTAAGTTTATAGGAAGTAGAAGTTTATAGGGGATACAGAACCATGTTAAGCAACACCATGAAGAAACAGACAAATCCAGAATATAGGGCATCCCACAAGACAATGAGAGCTTAACTATTCAAAAAGTCAGTATTTAGGGGAAGAGGGTGGGAGAACTACTCTAGACTAAAAGACTCAGGAGATATAAGACTCTTAATGCAATAAATGTACCTTGTTTGGACCCTAGGTTGAAATAAAAGGCTATGTAGACATTTGTAGGAAAACTGGTAAATTTTTAATATTTATTAAATATTAGATGATATATGGAATTACTGCTCAATTTCACAGGTGTGATAATGAAATCGTGGCTATGTAGAAAAATGACTATTTTTAGGAAATGCATTCTGAAATATTTAGGCGTGAAATGTCAAGACATCTGCAACTTTCAAATGATTCAGCAAAACTAAAAATATATACATGAGATTAAGGAATTATGAAGAAATACTCATAACTGTTCAGTCTAGGTGGAGGACATGTGGGTAGGTGTCACAGATTTTGTTCTTTTAGCTTCTTTGTATACCCGAAATTTCTCATTTAAAAAAAATGGGGAGGGCCAGCCCTGGTGGCCTAGTGGCTAAGTTTGACATACTCCACTTCAGAGGTCCAGGTTCAGTTCCCAGGCACAGACCTACGCTGTCAGTGGTTCATCTGTTTGTGGCCATGCTGTGGTGGTGGCTCACATACTAAAAAAGAGGAAGACTGGCAGCCAATGTCAGCTCAGGGCCAATCTTCCTGAGGAAAACAAAAGGGGAGGAGGGGGTAGAAGCTTATGAGAAAATGTTCAAAACACATTACTACTGAAGATGGAAAAGGGATTTCAAAACAATATGAAGTGTAACTGCAGGGAGGGAAAAGATATCTGGATGTATGAACCAAAATATTAACAATGATGTTACCTCTAAGAGGTGAACATTATGGGTAGTTTTAACATTCCTTTTGCTTGACTGTATTTTCTAATATTATAAAATTACAGAGGCATTTAGAAAAAGTTATTTTTGTAATAAAAATAGAATATTTTACAAGATGTAAGAAGGACAGTACAATCAAAAGGCATGCTTGATCATCACTTAACCACTTTGAACTTGTTTCCTCATTTATGAAATAAGACTATCATTACTTTCAGAGGGCTTTTGTGATGATTAAATTAAATAATACAGATTATGATCCACTAAATGAGAATCCATGAGTCCATGCTAATATGAATAAAGGAGAAGAAAAAGTTCTTCCATACAATAAGAAAGCAACTAATAAAATAGAAGGAATAATGTATTTTTAAAAATCACCATTTAGGAATCATCATAATAACTGATTCAGGCAAGAAATCATCAAAGAATGGTAAACCAAGTGGGTGAAAGTTTACTAAGAAACTAAATTATTTACATAGTCTCATAGTAACTCCCAACAGATTATTTATTGATTACAAATGGGGGAAAATATAGTAACTTCACAATAAAAAAAAAAACCCCGGCAGAGT